CTCCGCTTTGGCAGCCCAGGGTTTTGCCAGTTCGGATCCTGGGCACAGACGTGGCACAGTTCATCAGGCCATGTGCTGAGGCAGCATCCCACATAGCACAACCAGAAGAACCTACAACTAGAATATACAACTATGTACTGGGGGGCTTTGGGAAGAAGAAGAAAAAAAATAAATAAAAAGGTTTATTAAAAAAGGGTGAAATTAATTTAATTATATTTTATTGAGCCCCAAATATGCAAAATATTATCATTTTAAAATGTAATCAATACAAAAAATTGTTAATGATATATTTCACATTCCTTTTTTCATACCACATCTTATAAATTTGTTGTGTATTTCACACTTAGAACTCATCTCAATTCACAAGAGCCACAAACTAGTGTTCAGGATAATGCAGCTCTAGACAGTACTTGGAAAAACTTGGGAGATTCATGCAAATTGTAGTATAAAGGAAACCTATACTCTGAATAAAGGCTTTGTGAGATTACATAAGTGATGGAGGTTTGGCCAGCTCATGGCAATGCATATGGGCTTGTACATCCTCTGGCTCCTTCTGTAGTGCTGTATGGCCAGGGGACCATTGAGGACCTGCTGCAGGGAGGTGTGCAATCCTGGTGAGCAGTCTGGAGATCTGTGACTTGCTCAGGGTCCCCACAGTGGCTGGTGGATAAACTGTTTATTTGTACACTCCCTATTGAGAGAGGCCAGGGATTGAGACAGATGCCCCACTTTTTTCCACCCTGCTTGATACCTCTCTCCAGCCAGGTGAGTGATTGAAATCGTGCATCCAGCAATTTAATGATCACCTGCTTTGGGTGCTGGCACCAGAATCATAATTGTGAGTGTTTGTTTCACTGTTATGAGCAGTCAAGAAAGGTCAGAGCCACATGTTGTGTGGGCAGAGAACCTGTCAGAAGGAAAGAGAATTGCCACCTGTCCTGGAAATAAGGCACAGCGTGAGGGGGATGAAAGAACACTGGACTGAAAGGCAAGAGCCTGGGTTCTAATTCGGCTTTCTGCATATTAACTAGTTTTGTGACCATAAGTTAGCCAGTTAACTCCTTTGGGCCCCACTTTCTTCCTCTACAGACTGGCAATGCCTTAACAAGCCTTGATATTCTTTGATTCCATGTAGACATTTCTTGGGCCCTGATAAACTTTCCATATGATCTACTAAAAATTTGAACTACAAGGTAGCTTATAGGTAACACGTGTTCAACAATAATAACTGTAGAGGCCCATATAACCTTTGTATTTTTTTTTTCACTTTTTATGTAGAATTTCTTCTAATATATATTTCCCCTGAATCTAATTTTTATTTTTAAACATATATTTTCTTTTTTTATTGCAGGCATTTCTCATAGATTTTTTTTTTTTTTTAATACTCTGCCTTTTCCAAAAGGTATCCAAGGTGGACTTACAATACTTTTAAGTCATTTGACTTCTGGGTGTGTTACCTTAATTGCTATGCGAGTTAATGTTTGTGGAATATTCCTGTTTTCTCAGCAATATACTAAGTGCTTTGCTTGGGTTACTTTAATTCTCATAACAACAGCTGTGAGAAAGATACAGTTAATCATATACAACTTTTTCATACAGAAATCAAGGCCTAGAGTGTTGGAGGAACTCATCCAAGACCACAGGTTTGTGAGAGAGAGGAAAGAGATCGAAGGCCTGAGCATACCCATCACTGGATGCAGCCCAGGGGCTAGGACAAATGGTTTAACTGCCCAGATTTCCATTTTTGGAAAATAACTAATTTCGGACTACATTTCAGACCTCCGAAGCTCCAATTCTAGTGAGGCTTTACATTTTTTTCTTTGTCTTTTTTATTTTTCCCCTGATATTAAAGCTCCCAGTGTGAAACCTTTAGGATGAGAATTTTAGAAACGGCACCGAATGAGAGATAGAAAACATTGTTCCTTGAGTTATATTTGAAATATAAAAAAAGTCTTAAAGAATTCTCTTAAATTCTATGATTATGATTACAGTGACAGCAAGGATAAAGTAGCTTTATATTGTTATTAGCTTATGATATAGCATTGTGCACTGTTTTCCCTATATGGAAATGCAGGTTTCAGAAATAGAGAAGACTATTTTTCCCTTTAATTTGTTCTTTTACCAGGAGTCCAAAGAATGTTCATGTAAATGAATGATGTATTTTCCAACTTTGGGAGTGCAGAAGGCCCTAGTTTTATTTGTGTTGAGGTGAAGCAAATACATAAAAACCTGCTAGAAAATAAATGTATAGGCAATTTCATTGTTGGTGTTGAAATGTGAAACAATTATAGATTGTCTTTAAATTTGAGGATTTTATTAATGTATTTTGTGCAACATCCAGAGTATACAGTTATTTTTAGAATAAATAATATTTATATCTATATAACATCTCCTCTTGTTTGACATGTTTTCATAATCTAATGCCATAACGCCTTTACCCAAATTGTTTTCTAGCAGATTGTGTTTTCGCTGTAAGTTCTCCTATTATCCTTCGAGATTAAGCATGTGGCTGACAGTTGTGATGGAAAAGATTGACTCAAGAGCATTGTTCTTGGCACACTGCAAACAGTGCAGCAGTAGGCATACCACACGACCCCTCTGTTCCACACCCTGGGCTTGGCTCGAAGATGGACAAGCCAAGGTCCGCCTCCACAGGAGCTTCTGGGCTGGTGGACAGGAGAGGCCTCCAAAGGCTTGTGGTCACAAACTCTGCTTGCAGCTGTGCCTCGTCGTGTGTCTGCAGCTCATGTCTGAAAATAGCCGTTCCACCTGTCTCTCATTGCTATTTTCCAGTCTGGGGCATTTGCTGCTTTTATTGTCAAAAAGACCACAGTAACATTCATGGCGTATGTAGTTTGTTTTATTAATTCTAAAACCATCCATACCTTCAAAGTCTCAAAAGGCAAAGAGAAGAAATAATTTGAAATTTTAGGGCATCATGAAATTTCTGGTCAGTTAAGAGTTTTCTTTGAATGAGGATAATGAGTGAGGGGTGGGGATTTAAATTAAAAACCCTAATTATCATATAAAGAATAAGTGAGATAGACATCTCGTTAAAATACAAAATGCTAAATTGAAATTCACTACAACATTTTACATGTACTGTCTGCACACTGTAAAATTGTTTGATTTCCCACACTTCAGTGAAGTATAGTAGTTTATAACTATATGCAGAAAGAGCATTTCTTCTATATCTAAGAGAATAACTAGTACTTGAAAGCTTGCACTATGCCATTTGTTCATTCATTCTTTGTCAGTAAATATTTATCATGTACCTACTATGTGTTAGGCACTGGGGGTTTATCAGAAAACAGCATAAAGCTTCTTGTGCAACTACTTCAAATCTCAATTTTTTGGTGGGGGGACAAAATAAATATATAATATTTAAGCGCCAATAGAGAAAAATGCAGCAGGATAAGGAATAAAGAATAGCAGTGTGTGTGTTGAGAAGGGGTGCTCTTTTCTATGGGAATGTTCTAGTAGGTATCCCTGATGAAGTGACAAATGCTTTGGTTCAGCTGGATCTCTCCTAGGCTCTCATTACCTCGTGCTGAAAAGTCATCCTAAATCTCTGCATACTTTGTTCATACAGCTGTTGCACTTCCTTTTCTGCCATGATTCACTCTCATTTCATCACTCGTTGACCTGTCATCAGAGCTTGTTTCCACAAATCCTCTATTTTCACCTAATATTCTTCACCTAATAATTTGGTCTCATATTCTTCTGGCTTTGGTGACTTGGTGTCTAAACCAGCTCTTGACTTTCAAATTAATTCACTGGGTTTATCATTACTAAAATACAGGCATCTCAAGTTTAGAACTGAGTTGTATTTCAGATGTTTGCCTTTAAGCCTTTTGAAACAGTTCTTCTAAGTTAGAGCTTTGAAAAGAGAGAGGAAAATTCTGACCTGAAGCTTTTCTTTCCTATGTCCAACAGTTGCTCAGTGCAGATGGAGCCTTTTGTGTATGGCATAACTGCACACTTTCCTCTGAAAAGACCCAATTGGCCTCAGACTACTTAAGTCCAGCCTCTTATTTTAGTGAAGCCTGGCAACAGACATATGAAGAGAGAATGTTCTGGAAGATGTAGTATTGACTTCTTGTAGAGTATTACAATATTTTAGGCAGCCATGGCATGGGTAATAATATGGTTTTGATATTTTCGTGTTTACTTCTTGACCTTGAGGGGAGAATGAGAAATTCTATTCATGCTATACCATAATAGTATGACTTTCAAATCAGAAGTAGCCAGGAGTATTAAAAAGAGATGAAAGATTTTTATCCTGGAAAAGAAAAATCAATTTAGAGTTTTATTCTTTACATTATGAATCAAAGAGTATAGAAAGTAGATATTCGTACATAGTCAACACCAGTTATGATAGGTTAAAAAAGCAATTTTAGAAAATGTGACTGAATAAGTCCCTTTCTTTTTTGGTGTATTGGAATGAAATTGTCCCATGCTAGCATAGAAATAACAAAGGAAACAAATGCTTTTAAACATTGCTATGATGGGGGAGAAATATAGCATTTCTATTTATAGCTTGTACAGAGTCCCACATAAAAATAGCTCCAAGTGACAGATTTGCTCATATCTGGCATACAAAGTTGTTGCTGCCAGTGACTTGAGGAATTCTGATAAGAACAACGTCGGCACTGGTAAATATTGAAAGTTTATCATCTTTTCTTTTACCCCAGTTTTCATATGGGGAGAAAATTAGTTCGTGGAAAAGTCTTGGCTTTTGTATTATACATTTTGCTATTTTCTAGGCTATTTGTCTCTTTATTTTTAACAAAAGGATTTGCACCCCTCGACCTCACCCCGTGAAGTGGGTATATTACTGATGATTGTATCTCTGCCAGTGACATATTTGTCAGGCTAATAGATTTAACATTTCATTCTTCTAAACATTAATTTTGTGTGATTGGTGTGATTGGTGTGACAGCAAAAATATTAAGAACCTCAGAAATGAATGAAAATCGTTCTTTCTCTCTTATTTTCAGCGAAGTTTCCTGGGCTATGCCAGTTTTAAAGTGGGGGAGCTGTTGAAGTCAAAGGAGCAGCTGCTAGCCCTGAGCCTGAGGTGGGTCTCTTTGTCTGCAGAAATGCTGTTCTAGTTAATAGCCCGTGATATTTATTGATGGCTGGTTGGGTTCGAAAGTCACAATTCCTGCAGACGTTCAGATGTCAACTCTCAAATGGCTTATATTCGCTACTGCAACAAGTTATGGTGAAACAGCAGTCATTCAAGTTCACATTAAAGTTCATATTTCAAATTGTCGAAGGTTATCGGCCCTTGTAGGAAAAAAAATACACATTATCGTTAAAGTGATGAAAGTCTGTGAAAGTAAGAAAGTAAATAGAAATGATGAGTGTCCTATTAAGTAATTTTTTTGTTACTTATCAAAATGTTACTTTTTAAATCAAGTAAGTTTTTACGTTTGAAATATGTTTATTAGAGGCAACATTGAGGACTTATGATAATAGAGGATAAACTGAGTATTCTCTTTTTTTAAGCTTATTTTGTTGCTATACTATTAGATATGAGATAGTTATAAATTAAAACAGACCATATTGAAACAGACAATAGATTATAGCTGATTTTGAGTATAAGTACAGTTTGTTTTGATACAGAAGATGAGACAAAAATCCTTAGGAAGTTGCATAATGTTTTAATACTAACAAAAGTAATAAATAGAATAAATATTTCTTTTTAAATTCATAATAAATTTGAAACAATAATAGTATGTTGTTTTCTAACTGTGTAATAACTTATAATCACGTATACATGGAGAATACCTCTTGCTATATTTGTATAGTATAAATGAATATAAAAATTTTATGGAACTCTCTTTGTAAATCTTAAGATGCTCCTCTTTTGATGAAACTTAGAGACCACTCTCAGGGAAGAGAAAATGTCTTAAGTTTGCCCTCTGCCTTGGCCCCCAAGGACCCACTGGTAACAAACAATTTATTTCAGTAAGGATGTTCTTGCTCATACTGGAATCTGTACTGCTGGCTGTCTCTTTTTCTGATTTTTCCTGATCCTTACAGTTTTGCATGTTGACTCAAGAGACAGTATAAAATAATTTAAAGTAATCCATATTCATGCAGACAAATAAGTGTTGGTGGGTTCTAATGAGGCCACTATCTTCTCTCAGGCTTCTTTTAGGCTGTGTCTCTTAAACATGTTATTTTTTTGTTGTATTTTACTTGAGAAAACATTTAAAAATCTCTGTAGTTTTGTGGTGATATTCCCAATAAAATTTTGCTGTGGTTATTTTCAATTTGTAGTATGTAAGGGCCAGCTAAAATATCTAGCTATCAGTGTCACTGACACCTAGAAAATATCTATTGCCAACCTAGCATGGTGGTTGGATGCGACACAAGTGCCCCTCGGCTCATGATATGAGGTCTCAAACATTGAGCTAACTTAGAACTACTAGTGGGGCACACATATTGTGGATAAGATGCATTCACTTAATTCCTCCTCTTGCTGACTCACAAGCTACTGTATTGACTATAGCAAGACTGTCATCAACGTCAGCAGCGCACTACACAACATTGAGACACTGCCTGTGAAACAGAAATCAGGGACGAGAAATCTTTAGTGAAATGGAAATTAGTGAGCCACACAATACCTTAGAGAGAGGATAGGAACAGAAGGGTCAAGTTTAGGATATTAATGTTGGAAGGAGAAGGGAATGTAATAATTACAGGTTTAGATGAAATCAATACAAATTTCCACTTTTGATTTTAATACCTCAGCTTACAACTCATTTGATTTCGATTGTATAAGAGGAAAACAAGTTCAACCACAAAGAATGGAATTTTTTAGAAAAGATGATTTTTGAAAACCAATTGTGGACTAGGTAGGTTAGTATTTTTTTCCTTTTTGTGCTTTGCCGACTTTGTGGATTTCTCTTCCTATGAACCAGACACAGTATAGACTTTTCATAGCCTTTTAATTTCTGGTACTTTATGTTTTTTTAGTTCTGATACAATTTATCTTCTTTCCTTTGACTCAGTAGTCTCTGAGTTACTGAGTTGAAAGAACATTAGGTCAGGGATAAGATTTTTTTTGGTTATTTGTTTTGTTTTGTTTTTAATGTTCCTTTGCACTGATAATATCTGACCTTTATTCTTTTTATATTCCAGTAATTATTTTTAAAGCAATAGAATTCTCAGATTTTTGTAAAACAAATTCGCAGAAATAAGGATGTATTTCTAGGCACCATTCTTTGATGGTGAGCTTCCCCAAAATCACTGTCCCTTTGGGTTGCTTCTTACCAGATACTTCAGATTCCAAAACTCTCAAACTAGTTCCACGGAACACCATGGTTTTATGTGGCTACTAGGTCATGTGTATTCGAACTGGAATTTTTGAACTGAATTGAATTTTTTTTCCACAGAAAACTTAAAGGACAAGAAGTGTGTGTCTAATTTGTATATTTAGACTCAAATTTCTTAAAATAGAATATAGTGTATTTTTAAAGTTGTAATTTGTTCGCATATATTGGGAAAATACCTCCGATGTAAAGTGGTTCCTACTCATGCAGTTCGTCTTCGTTTAAATGCACAGTGGCTAAATTTCTGTCTGAGTCTTCTAGCATCCTAATTGGACTGGATATCTATTTACCTTTGTATTACATCTGCTTTGTTTTGCTAGTTTACATTTGGTAGTTCCTCTCTCCTCTGACTTCTTTTAGATGTCAATCATTTATATTTTCCGTTTTCGTTCTCTAGTTGATTGCCATATATTCCTGACTTCCATTATATAATATAAAGCTAGGGTTTTTGTATAGAGGATTATAATTGTAGGCAAGAAAAATATTGGATAATCTTATAAGAAGAAGAAGAAGAAGAATTTACTTTATTCTCTTGTAAGTATATTAGAGATCTTGTCTCGTTAACCCTTATACAGTTAGCCTGTAATGTTATTATTTTTGCCATCTTATAAGTTAAGAAACCAAGGCGTAGCAAGCAGGTAAATAATTTGTACAAGGTTACAGTGCTTAGAAGTAGGAAAGCCACCGTACGAAGCCACATATTTCTGACTGCAAAGCCTATGCTGTAATGACCCTTTGTTTCTTTTGACAAAAGAGACAACTGAGAACTAGTTAAAACATATCACATGTCATGTGACTTAGTAAAGGCAGAAAAAAGCAAGGCCTCAGGTCCAGGACCACTTCTTCATGGACTGAGTCCACCACAGTGCCTCATCGTAGACTAAATAGAGACATAATGAGTGTTAACACACCATGGAGAACTCAGGAATATTAGCCATGATGGCAGAAAGTGGGTACCAGCCTGCTAAGTTGGGGGGAAATGGAGGCTGAGGGAAACTTGTGGAATCTATTCTCACCCCAGAACATGGCATTACGAGGCCTTCCACCTGGTTTACTGCCCAAGCACCTGACAATCATTTACTCTACCAACCTGATCTGAATGTCTTGGCACCATGCAAGTAGAAATTTGGAACACTATAACCCTGTTTTATGATTTAATGAGAGAATGGAGAAATTAAGTCTGTCTCTGGGAATGGCGCTAGTAGTCGGGAAAAATTACCTTTCTCTTAAAGTATTCTAACAACCACAGAGGCAGAAAAAAAGGGAGGAGAGTATAACTTTTTTTCTAGAAAATCCTTTTCAGAGAATAGAGACAGATGGAAGTGTTCTGACCTTGTCTGAGCTTCGTTGCATGTCTCCTCACAGTTTGGATTACATTCAGTGCTCATTCATTCAGCAAGCTTTTATTAATTTTTCATATGCCACCTGCAGTGATCAATTTTTTAGAAATTTTTAAAAATAGCAGAGTTAATATTTTGCAGTTGATGTTATTAGTAACACTGTTAATGAACAATCTCATTATTAACTGAACATCTACTAGCATGCAAAGAATGTGTTAGATGCTTTCTGTGCATGATCTTATTTAATCACGCAGCATTATCATATTCATTTTACCGCAACTTATCTAAGATCCCACAGCTGCTGATTGTACAAGGAAGGTTAGAATTTACTTTGGTCTGACTCCAAAGCTTGTTCCTTTCTTATTTTCCTGCCTTGTAGGAAGCTAATGATCTCACAGAATCTTTACTTCCTTCTCCATTTTATATTTCATCCTTTGGAGAGTTTTAGGAACCTCAATTATTTTTTTCTCAATGCTTTATCTTAAAATTCAGTCTTATATGCCTGTGGCATAGTACGGGTTCAATAATTATTTGCTGTAATTTTGATTCATGAGGATGACTTCCTTATGTCTTTATGGATGCTAAATGTACACTTAGTACCATTTGTGTCTGAGTGGAATTCACCTGAATTAGCGAATATAATATAGTATAAGCATTAGAGTATATCTGAGACGAGTAGTTCTCGGAGAAATGAGTGATAGATTGTAATTTGCTTGAAAAGCTGAAAACTTTACTTAGAATTCACATTGATTTCAGTGTAGGCCACTTTACCTCATCGCAGAAACGTTCAGCTCTTAAGCGCTCTGTTAGTTCTTTTGTAACCTTCTACATGTAACCCTCCAAAACTAAGAAAATATTTATATGATTTTATCAGAATGGATGTGACAACATTTTCTTAAATACAGATATGTAAGAATTTATTCATAAAAAGAGAATTTATGTTTTCTTCTCATTTATTACTTCTGCCACATTTATAATAGTGCTGCCATGTAACATGTAATATAAGACTCCAGTGATCCTAAATGGACGTATGGTGCTATGTTTATAATATACAGATGTATGGGAGAGCCTATGAAAGAAATAAGCATTACAGTTCTACTGTTTGTTTTTAAATTTTCCCTATTTTGTGTAACGTTTGTATGTGTATGTATTCATGCATATACAACTGTATCATAGATTGTGTGAATGGATATCTGTTTGTGCATCTATATTATTTTAGGACTATTTTGCTTTCTCACAAACCAGGAATACTTATTTTCCATTGTCAAATGTGTGTGCTTATAGAAGTTAACATCCAAATTATGAGTTCTTCAGGTTTTTATTTTTTGGTATTTTGCTTAATTTAACCTCCTTAAACTCACACACACTTCAATTTTGTTTCTAAAAATAAAAGA